TTTGAACAACATTATTGAAAGTTAGAGGATTTATTTTCCCTGTATTTGTGACGCACCTGTTATTGCCTCTGGTTTATTTACTGTGTGATAAATCTCTTTTCATTGATCAATTTAGGATGTTACAAACTCTTACATATGTTAAATTATACTCTCATATCAGGTACTGATGAAATTGAGCTTGAAGCATTAAAATAAATCTTTAAATTTAATTGATATTGTATAGGATTTTACATTTTTGCAAGTCAGTGTCTCAATGCAATGGAAAAATGTGTATGGAAAGCTTTTTTTGTCAGCTATGTAGACTGTTGCATACCTCAGCCACATGTTTCCTAATACAAGTGTTAACACATACAGATATTTATGATACTGACCACCAGACCTGCTGGGTTACTATCAATGTTTATAGTTTATTAATCTGTCCCTTCTGGGTTAATCTTTGCTATGAGGTTGTTCTACTGTACAGTGACCACTAAGAAGGTTGTCCTTCTATCGACTGATCACTAATGAGGTTGTTCTACTATACAGTGACCACTAAGATTGTCCTTCTATCGACTGATCACTAATGAGGTTGTTCTACTATACAGTGACCACTAAGAAGATTGTCCTTCTATCCAGTGATCACTAATGAGGTTGTTCTACTGTACAGTGACCACTAAGATTGTCCTTCTATCCAGTGATCACTAATGAGGTTGTTCTACTGTACAGTGACCACTAAGATTGTCCTTCTATCGACTGATCACAAATGAGGTTCTACTGTACAGTGACCACTAAGAAGGTTGTCCTTCTATCGACTGATCACTAATGAGGTTGTTCTACTGTACAGTGACCACTAAGATTGTCCTTCTATCGACTGATCACTAATGAGGTTGTTCTACTGTACAGTGACCACTAAGAAGATTGTCCTTCTATCGACTGATCACTAATGAGGTTGTTCTACTGTACAGTGACCACTAAGAAGGTTGTCCTTCTATCCACTGATCACAAATGAGGTTCTACTGTACAGTGACCACTAAGATTGTCCTTCTATCGACTGATCACTAATGAGGTTGTTCTACTGTACCGTGACCACTAAGATTGTCCTTCTATCGACTGATCACTAATGAGGTTGTTCTACTATACTGTGACCACTAAGAAGGTTGTCCTTCTATCCAGTGATCACTAATGAGGTTGTTCTACTGTACAGTGACCACTAAGAAGATTGTCCTTCTATCGACTGATCACTAATGAGGTTGTTCTACAGTACAGTGACCACTAAGATTGTCCTTCTATCGACTGATCACTAATGAGGTTGTTCTACTGTACAGTGACCACTAAGATTGTCCTTCTATCCACTGATCACTAATGAGGTTGTTCTACTGTACAGTGACCACTAAGAAGATTGTCCTTCTATTACTAATGAGGTTGTTCTACTGTACAGTGACCACTAAGATTGTCCTTCTATCCACTGATCACTAATGAGGTTGTTCTACTGTACAGTGACCACTAAGATTGTCCTTCTATCCACTGATCACTAATGAGGTTGTTCTACTGTACAGTGACCACTAAGATTGTCCTTCTATCGACTGATCACTAATGAGGTTGTTCTACTGTACAGTGACCACTAAGATTGTCCTTCTATCCACTGATCACTAATGAGGTTGTTCTACTGTACAGTGACCACTAAGATTGTCCTTCTATCCACTGATCACTAATGAGGTTGTTCTACTGTACAGTGACCACTAAGATTGTCCTTCTATCGACTGATCACTAATGAGGTTGTTCTACTGTACAGTGACCACTAAGATTGTCCTTCTATCCACTGATCACTAATGAGGTTGTTCTACTGTACAGTGACCACTAAGAAGATTGTCCTTCTATTACTAATGAGGTTGTTCTACTGTACAGTGACCACTAAGATTGTCCTTCTATCCACTGATCACTAAGAAGGTTGTCTTTCTATGCAGTGACCACTGATAAGTTTGGTCATTGGATTGTAGTACAATGTCTAGTGGTCAGTAAAAAAATTGTTGTAAGCATTTCCGGCCATTAATAATAAAGTTGTCCTTCTATCTTCTTGCATCCCCACCACTACAGAATATGTTGTCCTTCCACATCCCACCTCCACTAATAGATTGTACTTCCACATCTTACCACCACAAAATAAGTTGTACTTCCACATCCCACCTCCACTAATAGATTGTCCATCCACATCCTATCACCACTAATGGGTTGTCCTTCTACATCCTATCACCACTAATGGGTTGTACTTCTACATCCTACCACCACCAATGGGTTGTACTTCTATATCCTACCACCACTAATGGGTTGTACTTCTACATCCTACCACCACTAATGGGTTGTACTTCTACATCCTACCACCACTAATGGGTTGTACTTCTACATCCTATCACCACTAATAGGTTGTCCTTCTACATCCTATCACCACAAATGGGTTGTCCTTCTACATCCTATCACCACTAATGGGTTGTCCTTCCACATCCTATCACCACTAATAGGTTGTCCTTCTACATCCTATCACCACTAATAGGTTGTCCTTCTACATCCTATCACCACAAATGGGTTGTCCTTCTACATCCTATCACCACTAATGGGTTGTCCTTCCACATCCTACCACCACAAAATAGGTTGTACTTCCACATCCTATCACCACTAATGGGTTGTCCTTCCACATCCTACCACCACAAAATAGGTTGTACTTCCACATCCTATCACCACAAAATAGGTTGTCCTACATCCTGTCACCACTAATAGGTTGTCCTTCTACATCCTATCACCACTAATGAGTTGTCCTTCTACATCCTTTCACCACTAATGGGTTGTCCTTTCACATCCCCACCACCACCAAATAGGTTGTCCTTCCACATCCTATCACCACTAATAGGTTGTCCTTCCACATCCCCACCATAATTATCACCAATTATCAATTTTTTCTCAGACCAGTCAGTGTAGTGGGAATTTTTTTACCACCATTTCCTCAACCTGTTTAAGGTGATACCACATGTAACACCTAAGTTGTATACATGTACATATGCTTTCTGCCTTTACATTTGCAAATGTGTACATATATGTAAATATCTCCTACATACAGTTCAGCATGCTGGTTATGGTTAATAGACAGATGTTAATTTGGTGCTACTTCATATATAAATAATATGGTCTGCTGAGGAACTGAGGAATTCATCATAACATCAGTCTGGTCTAGTGAGGAAGTTAGGGATGGCTAACTTATGAATCTTGTCCAGTGAGGATGTGAGGGATAGCTAACTTATGAATCTTGTCCAGTGACAAAGTGAGGGATGGACAATTTATAAATCTGGTCTAGTGAGGAAATTAGGGGTGGATAACTTACGAATCTGGTCTAGTCAGGAAGTTAGGGGTGGATAACTTATGAATCTGGTCTAGTGAGGAAGTTAGGGGTGGATAACTTACGAATCTGGTCCAGTGAGGATGTTAGGGGTGGATAACTTACAAATCTGGTCCAGTGAGGATGTTAGGGGTGGATAACTTACAAATCTGGTCCAGTGAGGAAGTTAGGGGTGGATAACTTACGAATCTGGTCCAGTGAGGAAGTTAGGGGTGAATAACTTACGAATCTGGTTTAGTGAAGAAGTTAGGGGTGGATAACTTACGAATCTGGTCTAGTGAAGAAGTTAGGGGTGGATAACTTACGAATCTGGTCTAGTGAGGAAGTGAGGGATGGACAATTTATAAATCTAGTCCAGTGAGGAAATGAGGGATAATCAGATTACCATAAGAGTCTGGTCCAGTGAAGAATGGTCAGATTACTTCAAGTCTTAAGTCAGTCTGGTCCATTGATGAAGTCAGCGGTAACATGGCACTAGACTGGTCAAATGGAAAGTGTGGTGAGAGGGCCAAAAATGATTATTTTTCTGATATGAAATTGTGATTTGTGATGAATCATTGGTTATGAACACCCACCATGATTGCCATACCATAACACATACCTGAGTTCTATTAATAGTAACTGATAATTTCCCTTTGTAGGTCAACATATGCTGTTTAGAGCTATTGATTTATCAGGCCATATAAAATTCTTGCCAAACATGGTTATCAGTTAACTGAATAGCTGGGTCCAATTTGACCATAGTGTTGTCTGAAATTTAAACACATTAAAGTGATAAATTCCCTCATAATGATGGTGCAATATACTATACACTGTACTACAAACATATTTAATAATTACACTCCTCTGATATTTTCTTAAATATTGCTGATACACCCTGAACAGTGACCACTTGTCTGTACTGTATGATCTGGACATAGGTACACCCTGTATAGTGACCACCTGTCTGTACTGTATGATCTGGACATAGGTACACCCTGTACAGTGACCACCTGTAGGTACTGTATATTCCTGACATAGGTACACCCTTAATATTGACCATCTGTCTATAGTGTATTTAGTACTTGCAAATTAAAGGTATTCTTAACCTTTTTGTATAGGATATGTTATACCTGTCCTGGTAAAGACAATTTCCCTTTTCGGCATTTTTAGTAACTCAAAGACAAGCATACATAAAAAACTTCCTTGATGATATACACCAATTTGATATGGTTTATCTGTAAAAGGCAAATCCCACTCTCCATATAAAGGTCTATACAGAACTCCAGACTATGTTATTAGGTTCTCTACATGTCTACACCATGTTCACAGGTAGAATTACCCAAGTAGTTGTGCATTCGTGATAAGGTCCAAGGTCATGGTCGTTTTTTGTCAACATCAGAATTCTGTAAAGGTAGGAGTTGGTTAGTTAGCTGACAAATTTGCAACCTGAAGTTTGTGCTATTATGTAATCGTCTAGTCAGGTACATTGTTACAACTGGGAATAGAACTTATCATCAATTGTACACAACAATGTAGGGTTGTCTACAGAACTAAGGATATACACAAAGCTATCAAAAAGATTTTGTGCACAAATCATTTTCTTTGCCTTCACTGATAGAATAAAACTGACAGAATTATTTAGAGTGTAGCAGATATGGTCAGCTTATGCTATGGTAAGGACGTTCTCAACACCTTGGACAGAAGCACGAGAAATTTGGATAAATCCATGTCTGGCAAAACATGGGTGCAAGAGGTATGGTGTGCATCACAGTTCCTTCTGTAATTCATTTTCAATAAGAGTAACTGATGATTGTGAAAGAAAGGGAGATGTCTGCCAAAGCATTAACCAAAACATGGATTGATATTTTTAAATATTGAACTATTTCAGAAATGTTGAACTATATATAATGTAGTATTGTATGATACGTAAAATTGTACTATAGATCTCAAAAAGTCTGGAATATTTCGATGTTATGACCACAAATGGTCAACCTCTCCTAGAGTGTATAGCAATACCCTACATGTATTGTGATTGGAAGAAACTACAGCTCTAGCCTTTTTTTTTTTATAGTCAAGGGAGATAACCGTGTTAAACAGCTTACTTTGTTGGTCCAAGGGAGATAAACATGAAAATAAATGGTACTGAATAGAATATTACAAAATGTTCACTTTGCACATGAAAACAAAAAATAAATTAATACTAAACATGAAAAAAGAACAATTAAGCTTCATCAAAGATATTGATATTTAGAGGATATTTTATGTACTGGAATTCTTTTGAGCGAAAGTGTAAAATGAGATAAGACAATCCATCATGTGCACATTGTGGGTGCATCACTATATATAACCAGGTTTGGTGGAACCTTATGCACTTGCACCTTATGGGTCTAAGGGATAGGGGCAAAATGAGTTTTTTTTTTAAACTTTAACTAAAAGTGACAGTAAATGGCACAGGGAAGGAAATTGCCTCACAGAATTACACCATGATTTACTTGCATAAAAGTACTAAGTACAGAGCAGATTATGAGTTCAGCTAAAAAAAGAGTACTTCTTAAAATAGGATTTCTTTCTATTGGGTTGTCCTCTGAAGCTTACTTTCAGGTTGTTCCTATCAATGGTAATATTTGCTTAATTAAAAAGCATCCTGATATTCAGACCTAATTGTCAATACGTAACATAGCAACAAAATGCCAAATGTACTGTATGTGAGGCGATTCTTTATAGGTACCAAGCTTAACATCAGAAACTTTTGTCGTACACACATTTTGACTCATGGTTCACTTATGATATATCTGTGGACAATTTATCTTAGACATAAAAAACCACAGCTGCTCACTCAATGGATTGATGTTTTTTGTCTTTTACAGATGATGGTGGACATTTTGCCCGCTGTTGATGTGAATCTGAACCGAAGTTCGAAATTCCATCTCTCTGACTCGGACAGTGAGGATGGATACTTCCCATCATTCCATATCTCTGACGATGAGAGCGACACAGATCTTATTAGAATGGTAATCAATTTTTCCAAACTTGGACAGGTGTATGTGAGGAGATAATGTAGGTGTTATCCTGGGTATCCTCTGTTGTCACCGATTCATCAATCCCCAGTTTATTTGTTTTTGGAGTAGGGGGTATCCTTCTAACATTACTGTAGTACATTATTCATTGAATAATTGTGCCAAAATTACCCTGCTACTTTACATAAAACACAAGACGAATTGCTGTCAATAATATTTTGTTTGACCCTGAAATCAATATCCAACTGTCAAGCCACTTGGAATATGAAGACAGGATTCTGTGTTTGATCCTGTGATACTAATTGGTGTGATTTCTGTTTTAGGACCAAGGCCCTTCTGTGATAGTCTTACCAGAACCTGGGAATTTGTCTGAACTGACGGGCTGTAAGTTCCAGGCTCTTGCAGATGATGAATCATACTTCCTAGACAGTACTGAGTTTCAGTGTACAAAATTTTATGAGGAATGGCGTTTTGACATTGAAGCAAATGAGCGGATCCTTTCTGATTCTGAGTCAATGGAGAGTGAAGATGAAGCCATCTTTGTTGAACGAACTAAGAAAACAAAGAAGCGTGTGCGATGGAAAAATAATTTATCAGGTAAGACCCATTTATAATACACTTTTTATGAGTTTTAAACTCCAGCGTTACCATAATTTCATAAAACGTTGCTTGATGGCGAAAAAAGATTGAAATTATTTTTGTTCACTAGAAACATAAAGTTGAATAATATAGCCATACATTCTCATGGCATAAAAATCCAGTCTGGGGTGTTCTGTAAACAAATTAGCAATAGTGTGCTCCAGTGATACAACGGCAAGATGACATCATCAATATGCAGGACTCCTGACTTTGGTTGTCCGTCTGAATATTCTTTGCATGTGGTCTAAGGGAGATAATCAATGTTTAACTTAAATAAATAGTCCAAGGAAAAATATTCAGCCGAGACAGAAGCAGCATTGGATCCCTTAAAAAAACCATATTGCAGTGGCCTACATGAATATCTTTTCATTACATGAAAGGTTGTGTTTCATTAGCTTTTCATGTTTAAAAAGTCAGAAAAAATGTAACATGGTAATGCCAGGAATACTGTGAAAATATTTGAACTAATAGTTATAATGAGTGAAAGTCTCCAAGTAACAAGAACAAGTTACCCAGCTTGTAATGTGCTGTCATCGAAAATAACATGTAGTAGATCTTCAATTTGGCAAAGAAATCATACACAGTAGTATTTGTAAAACTTCTGCATAATAAAAATACTAGGTACTGCTTGAACCTGTGGGTTGTACATAATAAATATAATTTCTGTCTTTTGATTGTTTAGTTATGTATCTAAAAAGATGTCAAAAAATAAACAGAATGAAATGGATGGTTATTCATACATATTTATTATCTAACCTTGAAACATTGATGATAAAACTAAGGTATATGTCACCAATTTTGATAAATTATCTTAAGTTGTTTTATAATGTATTTACAATATAGGATGAGATGTTGCATTACCAAAGCTATTACATCATCTGTCAATAAAGACATCGGCCAAAACATGAAATGACATGTCTGAGATAACGTAATCTGACCAGTGAAGATAATCATGGTAAAAGGAAAACTAATAGCAAGTCAAAATTAAACTGTAAAATGTAAATCATGCACAAACATTAAAAATATGGTTTATTGCTATTTCTGATACTATTGCTGATTCTGGTCATACTTCAGCCTGTATTGCTATTTCTGATACTATTACTGATTCTGGTCATACTTCAGTCTGTGTTGCTGGTCATACTTCAGTCTGTGTTGCTGTTTCTGGTCATACTTCAGTCTGTGTTGCTGTTGCTGGTCATACATCAGTCTGTGTTGCTGTTTCTGGTCATACTTCAGTCTGTGTTGCTGTTTCTGGTCATACTTCAGTCTGTATTGCTGTTTCTGGTCATACTTCAGTCTGTATTGCTGATTCTGGTCATACTACAGTCTGTGTTGCTATTTCTGATACTATTACTGTTTCTGGTCATACTTCAGTCTGTATTACTGTTTCTGATCATACTTCAGTCTGTGTTGCTGTTTCTGATCATACTTCAGTCTGTATTGCTGTTTCTGATCATACTTCAGTCTGTATAGCTGATTCTGGTCATACTACAGTCTGTGTTGCTATTTCTGATACTATTACTGTTTCTGGTCATACTTCAGTCTGTATTACTGTTTCTGATCATACTTCAGTCTGTGTTGCTGTTTCTGATCATACTTCAGTCTGTATTGCTGTTTCTGATCATACTTCAGTCTGTATTGCTGATTCTGGTCATACTTCAGTCTGTATTGCTATTTCTGATACTATTGCTGTTTCTGATCATACTTCAGTCTGTATTTCTATTTCTGATACTATTGCGGTTTCTGATCATACTTCAGTCTGTGTTGCTGTTTCTGATCATACTTCAGTCTGTGTTGCTGTTTCTGGTCATACTTCAGTCTGTATTGCTGATTCTGGTCATACTTCAGTCAGTGTTGCTATTTCTGATACTGTTGCTGATTCTGATCATACTTCAGTCTGTATTGCTGTTTCTGATCATACTTCAGTCTGTGTTGCTATTTCTGATACTATTACTGTTTCTGATCATACTTCAGTCTGTGTTGCTGTTTCTGATCATACTTCAGTCTGTGTTGCTGATTCTGATCATACTTCAGTTTGTGTTGCTGATTCTGATCATACTTCAGTCTGTGTTGCTGTTTCTGGTCATACTTCAGTCTGTGTTGATGATTCTGGTCATACTTTTGTCTGTATTGCTGTTTCTGGTCATACTTCAGTCTGTGTTGCTGTTTCTGGTCATACTTCAGTCTGTATTGCTATTTCTGATACTATTACTGTTTCTGATCATACTTCAGTCTGTATTGCTGATTCTGGTCATACTTTAGTCTGTGTTGCTATTTCTGATACTATTGCTGTTTCTGGTCATACTTCAGTCTGTGTTGCTATTTCTGATACTATTACTGTTTCTGGTCATACTTCAGTCTGTATTGCTGATTCTGGTCATACTTCAGTCTGTGTTGCTATTTCTGATACTATTACGGTTTCTGGTCATACTTCAGTCTGTGTTGCTGATTCTGGTCATACTTCAGTCTGTGTTGCTATTTCTGATCATACTTCAGTCTGTATTGCTATTTCTGATACTATTACTGTTTCTGATCATACTTCAGTCTGTATTGCTGATTCTGGTCATACTTTAGTCTGTGTTGCTATTTCTGATACTATTGCTGTTTCTGGTCATACTTCAGTCTGTGTTGCTATTTCTGATACTATTACTGTTTCTGTGTTGCATACTTCGTCTGTATCTGTATTGCTGATTCTGGTCATACTTCTGTCTGTATTGCTGATTCTGGTCATACTTCAGTCTGTGTTGCTATTTCTGATACTTTTACGGTTTCTGGTCATACTTCAGTCTGTGTTGCTGATTCTGGTCATACTTTAGTCTGTGTTGCTATTTCTGATACTATTGCTGTTTCTGGTCATACTTCAGTCTGTACTGCTATTTCTAATACTTTTGCTGATTCTAGTCACACTTCAGTCTGTGTTGCTGTTTCTGGTCATACTTCAGTCTGTGTTGCTATTTCTGATACTGTTGCTATTTCTGATCATACTTCAGTCTGTGTTGCTGTTTCTGGTCATACTTCAGTCTGTACTGCTATTTTGATACTATTTCTGTTTCTGAACTGCTATTTCTGAGATTATTGAAGAACTGTCTCTGAATTACCATTTTTGACACTAAATAATGTTTCTGAGACTTTTAACGTTTGTTTATATTTCTGAAACTGAGATTTTGAGTGAAAAATTGACTTCAGTACCATTTTCTAAGACTTTTCCTGAGACTTTCAGGTGATACTTTATTTAAAGGTTGACCACAGTACCATTTTCTAAGACTTTTTTCTGAGATTGAGAGTTTTGGGCGAGATTTTATATTTAGTTTTACCACAATAACTGATAAATATAAATCTAACCTTACTGTTAAGGATCTGATATATCAAGACGACAAAAGCACATGTGTGTATATTGATTGTTCCCATTGCCCAGCTGTCGCACCTCAACGATCACCTATGAATCTGTACATTTTTATTGTCTCACAGTATCTGGTGTAAAGTCCATATACAAAAAAAGTGTTCAAACATGAAATCAGAGGGTTGTGAATATTGTTCAAGCATTATGTACTTGATATTCACAAGTCTCCATTTTGTCAAACTTAAAGCAATTAGCATATTCTGTTTTGAAATGTGGTGTTACTAGTATCTAATCTACTTGTACAGCGCCTTACCCATGTAGACAGTAGGTGACTAAATCAGTGAATTTGACTATAACCCCCAAGTGCCTTGGTGTGTCAAACATCTATTAAACAAAATAAGCATCTTTAATTCTAGGTCTCCCTAAACATCACAATAACCTAGGTTGTATATCAGCATCTGTAATTCTAGGTCTCCCCAAACATCACAATAACCTAGGTTATATCACCAACATTTTTATTCTGTGTCTCCCCAAACACCACAATAACCTAGGTTGTATACCAACATCTTTAATTCTACATCTCCCCAAACATCAGAGTGACCCAGTTATATCACCAACGTCTTTAATTCTATGTCTCCCCAAACACCAGAGCAACCCAGGTTATATCACCAACATCTTTAATTCTATGTCTCCCCAAACATCACAATAACCTAGGTTGTATACTAACATCTTTAATTCTATGTCTCCCCAAACATCACAATAACCCAGGTTGTATATCAGCATTTTTATTCTATGTCTCCCCAAACATCACAATAACCTAGGTTGTATACTAACATCTTTAATTCTAGGTCTCCCCAAACATCACAATATCCTAGGTTATATCACCAACATCTTTAATTCTAGGTCTCCCCAAACATCACAATAACCCAGGTTATATCACCAACATCTTTAATTCTATGTCTCCCCAAACACCACAATAACCTAGGTTGTATACTAACATCTTTAATTCTAGGTCTCCCCAAACATCACAATAACCTAGGTTATATCACCAACATCTTTAATTCTAGGTCTCCCCAAACATCACAATAACTCAGGTTTCTTGCTCTGGTGTCTTTAAAACTTCTGCCTCAATCATCATATCAATCCAGGGACCTTAGCTCCTTTAGCATAGCCAAACATACCAAGGAGTCCCAAAACATTCAAACAAGTAGCATACTTAAAACCAGTTAAACCCAAGATCATCTGATTCCAAGTTCACTATTCTGCACAAAATGGCAACAATGATTGCATCATATGACAGAGAAATTTGACATCACTGAATGCATCATATTACACAGAAATTTGGTGACAATGACTGCATCATATGACTGAAAAATTTCGCAATGAGGGCATCATATGATAGAGAAAGTTAGCAATAATGAGGGCATCATATGATTGAGAAATTTTGCAATAATGAGGGCATCATATGATAGAGAAAATTAGCAATAATGAGGGCATCATATGATAGAGATTGGCAGCAGTGAGGACACCATGCTTAAGGATTGTACAAGTCCGATGATTTATTGTGAAAACATTTGTTGTTTTTTCAAATTAATCTTAAGCATTCATAGGTTTGCAT